GTAACAAAGCACACGTTACAGGACATGTCTGTATTTAGGTTTATCCATGGAGTCACGCTGCAGCAAATAGCAAGTGCAAGTCTGGTGGGAACGCAAAGTACTGAGAGAATGCAAAACTATTTCAAAAGAGATTTTCCCACCGTGACCTTTTAGGGGCTGATAACCACCTGTGTGCTGGTTCTCTAACTATCAGTAAAGCAGTTCAGGCAAAGCAGCGCGTTAAACGGAGCACAGAGCCCCGGCCGGGGGTCAGAGCGCGGGGCTCTCACCTCCAGCAGCTGTCTGATCTCACACTGCGTCTCCAGGGAATCCAGCTTCAGCTGTGCATTGCCCACGACCCTGTCCGCCTTGAACAGCCCCCTGTGCGCAAATAAAAAGGGTGAAGGAGCCTGCGGGGGCTGGCAGACATGAGGGGCCACGCTCGCCTGCGCAGACGCACACCCACCCCTTGTGAATGATCTCGAACTTGATGCCCTTGGTCTGCACCACCCTCTTGAAGCTCCTGTGGCCCCTGCTGATGTTCAGCTTGAACTGCTCCTTGAACTCTGAGATGATGGGGGAGGATTAGAGGAGGCGGTGTCACATGTGTGCGCCCACACACACACACACACACACACACACACAGGTGCCCAGAGTACCCTCACACACACACACAGGTACCCAGAGTACCCTCACACACACACACACACACACACACACACACACACACAAGCCCTCACCTGGGCAGTTGCTGTTCTTCACAGTGCTGGTCTTGTCATGCTGGGGTTCTTCCTAAAACGAGGGTGACAGTGAACATCTGTGCACATCTGTGTGTGTATAAATAATATTCTTAAAGGTAGTCTTACCGAACTGGGGAAGGGAAACTCAAAACGCACACTGGCATCCAGGTCATTGGCAGACCCTCCTGGACAAGAGGAAGGGAGAGGGAGAGGAGGTGAGATTGGTGGGCCAGAGGCAGCGTGAGGTCATCAGTGAGCCAGGGGGGTCATGCAGGGTGGGTGTATTTAACGACCGACAGCAGGAACGTGAACGCATTGGTGAGGAGAAGAGCAGGCACCTGCCAAACACACACACAGATACCAACGGTGACACGTACCCGACGGCGCGGGCAGATTGGTGCCTCTCACTATGGTTAACACCAAGTCATTGCTGGTGAGATCCGGAAAGATCCTAGAGAAGATAAGAGGCATTATGGAGGAGCAACAGAGGGATACAAGGAGGTGGATGAGGATACAGGTACAGGAAGAGAGAGAGACATGCAGTGAGAGAAAAGCACAAAAAGAACGAGTTATACACACAGAGTGACATCATGGTGTGTTAGGCACACTGAAGCACTGTTCTATATTGGGACTGTAAAAAGTTGTATATCTGCATGTCTTCGGCTGACGTCTTGCAGTTTCACAGGGATGAATTCCTCTGCTGTGCAGGGGACACGAACAGGCCAGGTCTGCGCTCACTCACTTGACAATGTTGAACGTTCGCTCCTCCGTGTGGAACTTGGGCACAGGGCAGCTCTTCTCATGGGCTTTTTTCAGCACCTCAATGTTCTTCATGCACTCCTCAGCAAGCTTCTCAAACCTAGACAGTGGAACCAGCGTTAGCACACCGTGCCTGGTTACCGTGGGCAGTGGCTTAATGGTTAGGGAAGCGCGCTTGTAATTGAAAGATTGCTGGTTCGAATCGCCAACCAGCAAGGCACCACTGAGGTACCCTGAGCAAGGACCCGCCCCCAAGCACTGCTCCCCGGGTGTTGAATTAGCTGCCCCCTGCTATGTCACGAAAGTCACATATGGGTTAAGTGCAGAGGACATATTTTGTTGTTGTGCACTGTGTGCTGTGGTGTGTCAACAATGACAATTAATCACTTAATTCTAATTCTTAGCGAGCCGCGCCTGTAGCGTGTTCGTGTCAGGGAGAGCCATTGATGATCTACCAAACTCACCTGGTTGTCTCAGCAATGTTGCCCATGTTTGTGAACTGCTGGGAGTATCCCATGCATTTCTGTAGAGACACCAGCAGTGTTAGTGGCCGCAGAACATCAGCATGGAGTGTATTTCAACGATATATTTTGGTTAGTGCCAGAGTTGTGTTAGCACTGTCTGGTAACGAATGCTATCATAAGCACCATCATTCATCTAACTTGATCATTTCACCGGTGCTGTCTTCTAGACGATGATCTTCCCCAAAGCTGCTCTTTTACCTTCTAACTAAAATGTTTTACATTTAATGGGAGCAATTAAGCAGTCAAGGGCACAACAGTCATGCTCTCCTAGGAGCAGAAGCTGCGATCCAGTCCAGTCGCCCATGATGTGGGAGTCGGGGGGGTGGTGACCTCGTGCTGCTGCCGCAGGAGCTCCATGAGCTGGCCGTACTTCTCCGAGGAGCGAGGTGACAGCTGGGAGCGCGTCGGACCCAGGCAGTAGTCCTCCTCACTGACAGGGACACTTGGCACCTGACAGAACAGGCAGATAAGCACTGGAAACAAGCTGAGCAGGAAGCAGCGATAAGGAGCCACACTGGTCCCAGGGTGATTAGGGACGGGGGCAGGGGAGGTGGGCCGCATTTAGGGGGGTGAAGGTGAACCAGGATGCAGGAACTGCAGAGAAAACAGCACTGAGGAGAGGAAGGTACCTTGGTGATGTCGACGGGCAGCCCGCCCTTGGCGGCAGTGATCATGTGATCCAGGCCCTTGGCGTTACGCAGGTGCAATGCTGCCCCCTGCAGGTCCTTCATCTGCTTGGAGCGCACGGCGGCACGAACAAACTGCTGGCGTCGCATCAGCAGGAAGTCCAGCTGCTGCTGGGCTGCAGGGAGTGACAATGCAGGGTCACGCGCCCGGCACAGCGCCCCCCTGTGGGCAGGGGAAGCGCCCTGTAGCGGCGGCATCGCAGGCAGACGTAGGACAATTAGCACCGCGAAAAGGGGAACTGGAAGGGAGCTCATGTACAAAATAAGTGTGAAGACTGACAGGAGGGTAACAGAGGGGGGTGGATTAGGAGCAGGGCCAGCTGGCTGCCCTCCCCCTGCATACGGGACAGCAGGACGGAAGGGGCTACAGTGGGAGGGAATACGTGTCCATGTCAATCACAGCTTTAAACCAATGAGAGCGCAGAGATGACCAATGGGAAGGTGGTTGTGTCAGAGTGAATGACGATGGAAGCCAGTTACACACAGAGTGGATTCTGAAGCCTTGCTGCACATAATGATAAAGACGTTCTGTGGCTGTGAGGGTCCGCAGGTTCCGGCAGGTTCCGGTGCAGAGGGCGCGGCCTTTCAGAGGAGATGCCTGAGCTCCAACTGCTGTAAAGGCTGCACTCTGTTAGGAGCAAGAGCCTCTCACCTTTGGCGCCCAGCTTGGGAGCCTGACCCGGCGTGGAGGCGGAGCCTGGGGAGGCGGAGCCTGGAGTGGGCGGCACAGGCGCTTTGGCTCGCTGGACCGCCGCTTTCTGGGTCGGCTTTAGGGCGAGAGACAGACAGCACTGTCACAACAGAATCTGAGTCAACCGTGGGTTTGAGTCACACATGCACCAGCGCTGAAAAACTAAAAACTAACCAAATAAAAAATGCACACGTCCACATTTTAATAGTTTAACACAGTTGATTCAGATCCTGTGGTGACAAGCACCTGGATAATGGCAGTAATCTGGGCCGCCCACCATCTATCACAGCCCGGACGAGGAGGCGGGCCCGAGACCCGGCCCGGATGAGGAGGCGGGCCCGTGACCCGGCCTGGACGAGGAGGCGGGCCCGAGACCCGGCCCGGACGAGGAGGCGGGCCGGGTCACGGCCCGGACGCCAATGTGCTGGCCCTCCCCTGTAGTGGTGACCTCACCTTAGCAGTCGGCTCCCCGGTACCGCTCTCGTCGTCATCCTCGGCATCCGCATCCTGATTGGCCAGCTTCAGGGCTGTCTCAAGCACCCCCACGAGGTTTTGCTCACTGCCTTCTGACCCCTGAAGCTGGGGGCACCCTGGGAGCGGGGTTTTAAAAAGCCAGATATACGTTTAGAAGATGTGTGTATGGACGACAAACTGTGGTGCTATCAGGCGATCAAACGAGAGGAGAGGCAGCGAGAGCAGCGAGAGTAGAGGCAGCGAGAGCAGAGGCAGTCACCGGGAGGGATGGGCAGCTCGGACAGATTGACGGGCCGCCCTGCTTTGTTGGCCCTGATGGCGTCCTGGTATTGCTGCAGGGGACAGAGACAGGGGTGAGCCCAGCGGAGAACGGACTGGCAATCTCACACTGCCTGGACCTGGTTCTATGTGCTCTGACACCAATAGGTTTGATCGCTCTCGAAAACTTCATTTGATTTCACTGTATTTAATGTCCTGCATGGTCAATTACGGCCATAGCAAAAGTCACTAACAGTGGCATTTAAATGTTCGTATACAAGCTAACCTGGCTTCTGGTATTTAGGTAGGGTACTAGCAGTGAGACAGCCATACCAGCAGGGGGCGCTACCTTAACGATTCGCTGGTGCATCCTGGCTTTCCGGTCGTCGCCTTTGGTCTTTGCGCCCTCTGCTGCTGCCTTGTAGCGCTCCATGCGCTGCTGCAGTGCCTCTGCCACGGTGCGGGGGGCTGGGAGAGCTGTGGGCGTGACAGGTGGGGGGAGGGGGGGTCACATGATCAGAGGCCAGCATGCTCTCACATGTTGAGAATTCAGCCCTGTGAGACACACACACACACACACACACACACACACACACACACACACACACAACCTGTTTACCACTGATAAATCTAAACAGTGACTCACTTATGCTGGCAGTGATGAAATATTCACATGAAACAAAACTTCACTTGATTGACACTTAACAAGGTAGCTGGCATTTACCTGATCAGCTTAACATTCCTGCCGTTATGTGCACTTATTTAGCCAAGAGATCCAAGCAACAGTCATGCCATTAAAAAGGACAACCTTACCAGTATCAGAAACGGGGGGTGCCACTGGAGACGCAGTGGTTGGCTGGGAGGAAGGCTGGGCAGGGGAGGGGGCATTTCCTGGAAGAAGAGCAAGGTGAAACTGGAACGTTAGAGGGGAGATGAGACGATTAGCAAGTGGCAGCGCTCAGGGGCTAATCTGTCCGTTAGCGCATTAGCGCAGGAGGCTAACAAACTGAGGATAGCAAAGGAGCAGTCACACTGTCCGGAGGACTGCCGAAGCCCCAGAAAGGGGCGTCTTTGTGATATGGCTGATTGAGAAGATACTAGCGCTATCAGAATCGTTCTACTTCAGGTGAGATTCTTATAATCGAGGTTCCCAAGAATGCATATTAAATTATAACCGAGTCTTCAGTACTTCAGTGGATCTGACTTTAAAATAACACAACCCCAAAGTTGCGGACTATTCACTTGCTTTAGAAGTCAGCAAAGAGGCGAGGTTGGCGTAATGGTGCCTACTGACCAGGAGGGGGTGGAAGAGAGGCCACGTCCACTGTCTCTCCTCTGTCCAGTGCCTCAATCAGTGGGTCTAATTTCTGCAAGGGATTGGACCAGAGCAAATGATGAAGAGAGGGAAAGAAAACGACAGAGTGGTCACATGTCTTTCTTATCTCGGACCGGGGCTGTGCGTTTCGATACACGAGCACCATTAAGGGATATCGCCATGGCTCTGTTGGACCACGTGCCGGTACCTTTGCTGCCAGGTAGTGCCGCTTGGCCAGCTCAGTGTCCCCGCTCTGCTTGGCCTGGATAGCGGCCAGCTTGTACTCTCTCTGCCTACTGGACACCAAGCCCTTTACCTCTGAAAGCAGATGGGAGATCATACAGACCGTCAAATATCTCATACATACATAAAGGTGCACAGAGACACACAGTCCTACATACATAAAGGTGCACAGAGACACACAGTCCTACATACATAAAAGGTGCACAGAGACACACAGTCCTACATACATAAAAGGTGCACAGAGACACACAGTCCT